TTTGATGCACATTCTACAGAATTTGGCACAAACATTTTCACTGTATCGGTAACTTCGGCGACCAACGGGCCAACAATCGGTCTGCCAATTGCTCAGTTAAACACATATTGAAAATAAATACACTTTGCACAAAAACACCAAAATGGATTTATCTGTCCCTCTCTGTTTAGTGTATAGAAAAATCACAATGCAAATAATTGTTTCAAATTTAATAAAACATAGGTATGTGAACATGTGTAAATGGTAACTGCGCACTCTGCAAGAGCTTAAACATCCTTAACAAACCCTTTTCGGTGACCGTTAAAATCTGAAACCTTTCGTATTTTTTTAATAAATTCTTATTTGAAACTGCTGAACATTTTACGCTGAAACCTTTCGTTTCAGTCTTATCATGCCTCTGAAAAGACAACATCAAATGCTAAAAACACACAACAAAAACGAAATCTCGAAATTAAATCTCTCCCTGATAATATTTTATACAAATTATGTACACATGTCATTTGCCATAGTATTATATCTCAATTTACAAACATGGAAGGAAAAATAATAAAAATTAAAGATAAGATTGGATAGATTGAAAAGGTTTTGCAAATAAGATACGGTGCTACTTTGGTAGACGGTTGCACGGATTTTGGCGATTTGTGTTGGCGCAATTGTTTGCGCGATTTTTAAAAACGTCAGCCATCTTGAAAAACGCTGTTTTTACGCATAGTAAAGTATTCGAAAGTTTAAAAAAATAAATATCGTTAAAAGTAATGGATTAATATTTTGTTGAAAATGTCGCTTTTTAAGATGGCAGCAAGGGTAAATAAATACATTTACTATGAGTATAAAATACTAAAGTAAGGTTACTATTACTTTCATATTGCAAAGAGAATAAAAACACCGCTATAAAAACATTGTGCCAACGTTTAATTAGATTAAAATATTACTGAAATTGAATATCGAATTAAAAACAATCATACCAACATTTAAAAGAATTAGAATATTATTAAATTCAAATACTTTAAAATACGTTATATAGAATATAATTAACATTAAAACATATGGACAATAATTATCTCAGCAATTTTTGAAAATAGTGTATTAATTTTTTCAAAAAAAATTGAAGTATGCAATTATAAAATAAAGGAAAAATATGTACTTATATTTTTTTAGTCATTTAACCTTTTGCTTGACAAGTACCACAAAAAAATCGGAATCATAATTTAAATAACACCTTTGAAGATATCTTTCAAGGAATTCGAAGATATGAATTAAATTTTAAAACGGCGCGGAAATGCACAAATTTTCAGTAACCAATCAGGGAGCTGAATACAGCTCGTTAATGCACAAATATTCTATAACCAGTCAGAGAGCTTATTACATCACGCCTAGAATTAAAATTATTTAAAAACTCATACATAATAAAATCATTTTTTCAAAAAAATGCAAAATTAAATTTGTATTTTAATATTTAACAGCCATGAATAATGTTTAAAACATTAAGATTAAATTTATAGATACATATCAAAACCAATTACTTTTAAAGTAAGGTGACGTCATTGGATTACATCATCCACAACATAAAATTATATAAAATATGATAAAGAATAAATTTTTATTTCAAATAAAAATGCAAAATTAAATTGATTTTAAATATTTAGAAGCCATAAATAATATTTAAAACACGGAATTTATGCACAATAAAACACATTATTTTTTAATAAAATGACAACAAAATATCCGGTTACCATAAATAACTTATCCATCAATGGGTTTACCATAAGTTGTATTACTTTGCCAAACAAAAAAAATCGCCAAGCCGTACAAATCCGTGCCCAAACCAGTAATTTTATGTACCCCATTTCAATACCATTCAGTCCCCAAACATCAGTGTTTTGTAACCAATGGATATTTTAGTGAATTTAACCTCATGGATTTTATACGATTATTTTTACCGTATTATCATAATTTGAATCCACTTTGCAAGCTCTGTTTACTAAATAAATTCACAGACATACGTAAATATAAACAAAAGCGCGTGGTAACAGTCCTGAGGTATGCTCGAGGAAGTTTGCGATCTTAAAATAGACGCTCTCGGGAGAAAAGAGTTGAAGAAATATTGCAGAGTATATTTAGCGCTACATGTAAACCGTAACCGAAATTTACATTTTTTGTTTATTATGCTTGCCGTACTTAAATCGCTATTTCAAATGTCAGGGAGTATGATTGAACGTAACTTTCGAACGAGGGGGATAAAATTTGGAATTAACTCAAGTTGAGTGTCCTCCGAATATGTACAGTTAAACACGTACCATACTTTACATACTAAATGATGGCGTCTCTATCTAATTTGAAAAAAAAATGGTTTTATGTTCAGCAGAGGTGAACACGTGTAGTACATACGAGGGCTAGTTTAAGAAATGGGAAAAGAGCTGCCAATACGAATAGAACAATATATTTTATTTAGACAATAGCTTTTGATAAAATGAACACAGGTTATTTTAAAATATAGAGTAACATTGCTTTTTTCAAATTATATTTGAGAATGGGTTCGGAAATGAAAGACTCCTACAAAAGTGAGATAATATGCATGTTCACTGAACGCGTGCAGAAGTGCAGTGCTGCTGTTCAAAAGAGCATTATTCGCTTTTGTCAATCTAATTGATGTGATAGTGACGTCAGTCAAGCGGAAAAGTAATTAATGTTGCTAGAGTGCAATTAGGATTAAAATACGTGCGCAGCGTGTTCAATTTAATCTATATGCTGGTTCGTTCCTGCTGGTCGAACGACTGCGCGCAGGTTTCTTTTTTTTTTCCCCTAGTTATAAGTATATAATTTAATAATTTATTTTGGTCTTAAATACTAAAAAGGCATGTTTTACCAACTTTTGGACAAAACATCGTTGGATAAGGTGCTTGCACACGTTAAGTTCCAATTTACAGGATACCGACCGAATTTGGTGCCTCTATATTTTGCCGCCTGCTTGCGAGGCATTTCTTGAGTACCCAACAGGAGCTGGCTGACTAATATTCTAATCCTGGTTGCTAATTTGTTGACCTAGAACAGCGGTTCTTGAAAATTTTTCATTCATGACCCCCCTTTTTACCATAGAATATTTTTTTTTCATCCTCAGGGATGTTGTTCTTGTCCTCAGGGATGTTGTTTTTGTCTTTTCCATGTACTATCATGAAAGAACGGTTTCCAGAGCGTTAAGAAGGCTTACATTTCTATTTTCCACTCCAATTTTAAAGGACAGCACACCAGGGTGGTGGTCTGGGACACACTTATCCCTTTCTCCTACCACTGAACCACACGACAGGCTTGCCATATATTTAGGATGTCTAATGCGGAAAGGCACTATACATTTAGAAACATCCATGCTTTCTCTGGGATTCGATCCCGGTTCCTTCGGTACCGCAAAAAGCTCCCCTAACCACTATACCGCGTGGGCGGCATTCTTGGATTCCCATAAATAATTTATTTCTTCGAAGTACTAGTTAGGATTAGTTTCAAGCATGCAAAAAGTAATGAAAGAAAATCATGTTACAATGAAAACGATATGATTGCTTTTCTTACATAGCAAACTAAATCAAATTAAATTCAGCTGCATTTGAAAGAACTGGACGTAAAATATCTTCAAAGTTGAACGTCGTTGAGCGGCAATAAATGATGAACGGCTTTTCGATTCAAAAATAGTTAAAGGGGAGAAAGGTCGCTTTATATAAACATGTGATGCTGAATGGCAGAAGAGCCTTTAATCTCATTTCAGAAATTTAGAGAAATTCATTCTAACGCCAATCCAGAATTTTGTCAAGGATTTTTCTAGAAACTTAAGATTTGAGTCACTCGATAGCTCAATAAATTCTTTTTCGGCTTTATGTGGCGGGTGATTCATTTAATTAATGTCAATTAATATAATTTCTTTACAAATGTCATTAATGTAATTATTTTTATTCAAGTATCTGAAATAAATTTTTGCGCTCTCATACAGGGCCGTAACACACAGTTTAAGAAACGCTGATCTAGACTAATTGTATCATCTTATACATTAGAAACACTTAACTCCATTTTGAATGCAATTTTCACGGTAATATTTAAATTCTCGTTCAAGATAATTAGAATATTGATGATCGTTAGGCGAATTATCAAGCTGATTAAAATCAGTTTTAATGAAGGTAATGATTTTTAACCGCATCTGAAGATCAATCAGCGGAAGCCTTTACAATTATTTGCTTCAAACTGGAGGTTAGGCATTCCAATATGCATGATGTTCCAAATACGAATGCATTAATTTTCCTTCTGAAACGGCTGAATGCGAATATTTTCTCTTCACTTTTCGTTCTCGTTTATGAAATTTTCTAGTTTTCTCGTTTATGAAATTTAATAACTGTTATAAAATTAGATGGAAAACCATGCTTAGCTTGCAAGTTACATAACTCTTGTGGATTGTGAATCTGAAATGTCACATTTCCGACCATCAGGGAAAGTATGAAAATATGTACACATCAAGAAATATGTATCTCCTGTTATTATACACTTTATAATTTAGCCTCATGACTTTACGGGTTGCATGCAGCCATCAAGTTTTAAAATGAACTGCGAGTTAGTTGATATATCAGACAACTAGAGAATGTTATCCTTTGAATAAATTTATAATTTTGTCATGTTTCTTTTTCCAATCAATCAGCTGTCTTTTCAGTCATTGCGCGACAACTGATTTATCCAACACTAATTTTTAACAAAAATGAATAACTATTGATACAAATATTATTATGTGTATTCTTATTTAATAAATTGATACAAATGAGTACACAAATGAGTTTCAAATTCACAGCGATAGATAGAATGCAGAATATGATTTGCTGAAAAGGAATAAAATCGTCAAAGGTATTTTTAAAATTAGAACGCTCAGTGTAATAGCACACTGGAATTCCAATATGTGAAATGCTTTTATAATATTTAGGTTCATCACAATACTGTTTTTAACGTTCTTTTGTAATTTTAATTTTAACTAGGTTTGCCGAAATTGGAACAGAATATTTTATTCCCGTAGAGTGTGGGATACCTTCATCCTCGAGGATAGAACTCTGACTAGAAGAAAATTCAACTATTACATGGGTGATCAATATGTTCTGGACCATCACCGGACACAGTTATGCTTACACAAAGTGGCACGAGGCATTCGAAAGCTCATCATTAAACCTATGGAGAACTTTTTCAACCTTTATGAGTTCATGACCATAGTTTCCTATTTCTGTGAGAATTTTGAAGCCCTACCTCTGATTAGAACTTTAGACTTTACTTTCGGATGCGAATTTTCAGACGAGAATCAGCAAGGAAGAGACGAAAAGGTATTCGGCACTGGTGGAAAGTTGCTGGAAGCATTGAAAAGACTAATGGATGATTTGACAGGGCTGAAGAATTTGTCTTTACAGGATCTGCTTCTGGAAAAGGTGAGAATTTATTATGCTATATATTTATTCACTAAATATTAGTTTAATACTGAATTATGAGTGACTTTGATTTGAATATAAGAGACATGATGCTTCCCGAATTGATTAAAATAGTCTGCAGCAAGCTGTTCCGTATACTGGCTTGGTTCGTATACTATATACCAATAATGGAGTGCTTAATGTCTTTCGAAGTTAATTTTGAAATGACTTTCTATAAAGGTAAACGACTGGGATCATGAAAAAATAGTTTCCATCGTTTCAATATCATTCATAAAATTTGAAATTAAGTGTAAAATACATAGTGCATGCGGGCAGGCAAAAGAGGCAGTTAAGTCTAACGAGAAGGAACATAAAACTGCTACTAGAAGAAATTACTCTAAGTTCCCGTTAAGTTGATAAAGTCTGGGATTGGAGAATGATCTTATTTAAGTTTTATGTATAGTATGCAAGCTAGCATTGCTTCCCTTAATGTTTTGAATGATTTATGAATGCATAGTTAATGCTGGAAAACAATATATGCCGTATTTGCCGGCGCACCCCCATTTCTAGACACATATTTGAAGGATAACACTTTATTACTGATCATTATAATTAATTTACACAATTTTAAATATAAAGTAATACACTACAAAGTAATAATTTCTGCAAATATCCAATCTATTTGGGAAAGGACATCTCCAGAGCTAAATGAAGAGTCTCTTGAAACCTCTTCTAAATCAGCATCTGGGTCCTCATAGAATAAATTCCTCTGTACCATTCAGTGCATTACTAATGTCACACTTCTTAAACGATTTAAGCACTGTCTCTGTATTCACAGAATCCATGAAACTTCGACCCATTCACAAACTTGCGAAATCCTAGGCCTCTTCCTTCTTCCTGATGGTGTAACCTCAAAATTTGAAGACTGATTGAAGACTCCCAGATGCTCCACTTCCTTTTCATAAATCCTTTAAAAGGTTTATGGTTAAATGGTTAAAATGCTACGTAACTGTAATACTCAAACACTCGCAAAGAAACAAGGAAAAAGTAGCATAACTCCGAATAAAGTAAGCATCGACGTATAAGACGTATCCTGTTTTTTAGACCTATTTTCAAAGACAAAAAGTGCGTCTTATACGCCGGCAGATACGGTAATTCTTCAAAATCTTCATAGATACCTTCTGTAATTCATCTCATCTTCTGTAATTCATTCATTCTTCTGTAGGCTGATTTTTTTTTTCTGATTGCAATTTCTAAACCTTAGGCAAAATCCCAGTACTTTTACGATTTAAGTTCTAGCTGAAATCTCTGCACAACTTCGCTTTCCAAACCCTGAGTTCCCCCATATTTTCCAATCACTTCCACTTTACAATCCCTACTACTTCAGATCCCTCTCATTTAAAAAAAATTCTCATATATCTTTTATTTATTTATTAATACAAAGCGTCTTGATGCATCCCTAACGTAAACCTTTTTGGTGTTCTCCAGTGAGTTCCACGCATATGCTGCCTCTTTCTCGTTATATTTAAGGGAGTGTGGACTTGAAAATAGCTAAAAATCAACCAAAATCTTGAATTTGTTTTTTTACTCTCGTAACATTCCATATACATAAATACATCTTATTCAAAAAACCGAGTTCAAATCTTCTAATTTTTAAAGAAGTTACAAGCATTTAAAATGTGTAAACAACGTAAACTTTGCCCTTTACATTTTGGAGAAAATGTAAAAAAAAATGTATTTCAACAGTTATATACTGATGTTATAATTTATATATTTGTCCAAAAGAAGAGTTTATTTCTAAAAAGAAGGCTAAAAATTTCAGTATTGACAACTAATAAAGAATTTAACTTTGGTTATTTATGTAAATGCTATACGCGTAGAACAGGAAGGAGGACATAAACTCGTTTTCCCTATTCGTTGCAAAAAAGGTGGGATCAGCGTCGCTTGAACCAAAGCAAAAAGAGAAGTTTACCTGCTTGAAAAAAAAAAAAAAAACAGAAATAGTAAAATATATTGTAAAGCAGTTAAGGAATAATGTAAATATAACAAATGAAGGTAAAATATATGGTGCGGGTGAATATTTCAAAGTTTCATTGGATATAATGCATAAATTGTTTCTGCCTATAACATTCTATTGTTTCTACCTATAACATTCTATTGTTTCTACCTATAAGCTATATTAACATACCAATTTGCGATATGTTTATTTTTATCATATTTAATATTATGAGATTAGAAATAGTTAAATGATACGAAAATGTTATCTATTGTTTACAAATTCATATTTAAAGTTAATTTTCTGTTTCTCATGGCCATGTATTAAAGGTGAGTTTGAAGAAAAACTTCGGTTTTCTCAAAACAAATTTTTTCGCGGTTCGTATGTTTTGAAAATGCTCCATGCGTCTCATTTTTAATTAAAAATGAATGATATTCGGAAGAAATTACCTTGTTACATATTGCAGTAGATATGTGTATGCATTTTTGGATATGAGGTTACTAAGGAGTTTAAACTTGTGATAATATTTAACAAAAGGTAACATTTTTCCGAAAACTGGGTTAAGTTCACAAAAATTCTTTTTAAAAATTTCTGATCCATCATATTCAATAACGGATACACAAAACTTTTGTCAAGTCTTTATAACTGAATTAAAGGAAATATTAGGAAAAAGTATTGAAAATTAGAGCGCAAGGAGTATTTAAAATCTTTAATTAAAATAATTAATTATTTGATTTAAAAATTATCAATTTAAAATAAATGAAATTTTGAACATATATTTTATAAACTGATGTTATAATATGTATATGTATAAAATGTTTTGTTGAAAACTCAAAAACTGAAAACACTAATTTTTAAAGTCCATCCTCCTGTTAATGTTGCAAAGAGTTTGGTACTTAAATGCGTAGTATGGGTTTTCTGTGCATCAAAGACTTTTAATAACAAATGCTTAAATGCTTGTATCTGTACTGTAAAAGAAAATGTGTTTTTATTATAAGGGATGAATTTTATTATAGTGAATTAGTGAATTCTTCCAAAGAAATATTTGAAAAACTCTGCACACAATTTAGTTACATTCAAACTTATGAAAATGCGTTCAACTAATTTTATATTATTGACATATTGAAGCCCACATTAATTATCAAAGACAAGTATTCCTTATAAAGTATTCAGAGAGAAAAACGGTCATTTTGGTCTTCAGGAATTTTAAAAATTCAGAATAATATTTATGTAACCGTTTCGATAACTAAAGCAATTAAAGAACTTCCATTTTCATTCAATATTTAGTTATGAGTATGCTGAACTGTTAAGGCTTTTACTGGACCAATTAGTAAACTAATGAACTAAATGGCTTGACTGCATTCGTTCTTCTTTATAGGACTTCAGTAAAGAGAAATATATATATCAACTATACAATGGCTTTTAATACGTGGGGTATGTTAGCATTGTACTGCCGTTTTTCTGATGTAATCCGATGAGTTTTTCTATTAATGCTAATAGCATGTTTTTGGATTTAAAGATTGGATTATGACGAGCTACATCTGCTTATTGAGATCAAGAACGCCCCCTGCATAATTTAATTACTGCATAAAAGCATATGCGAGATTAAGTGATAAAATGATTAAAGAAAAGAAGTTTAAATTTATTATCAAATACATTGTTCAGCTTCTGTCTTTGTTATAAACATATTGCACCGTTTGGGTTTTCTCTCGTTTACATTTGTTTGCTCTTATGCACCAATTTATTTCTTCTATACATTTTTACTGCTTTTGATGTATGTAACTTAAAATAAACATTTGAATCACTGATTGAAAATACTTTTAAAAGATGATGCTTTGAAAAATATGAGGTTATACCTTTAGAAAGTAGATAATTAGCATATGAAAGCTCCATTGGGGAGAAAACTATTCTTTAAGCCAAACAAAATGTCTAACAGACTAGAAAAACGAATAAAAATTAAATATACATTTCATACTAACATCCCAGAAAAGTTCGAGATCTCAATAATCAGTCTTAATGAAACTAAAAAATATGCCATAAGTGCCTTTCTAGCTGCAAGATGTAATGATTTTTTTTCTGAATAAACATTAAAATGTTTGCAGAATGCATTCGATAGTAATAATACGTTTTTCAAATTTAAAGTGCAAGAGAGAATGTCCTTTCGATTAAAAAAACACTATCAAAGTAATTTTATGGATCCGTGTACTGAAGGTTCGAATAAATAAAGTTCGCGGAAAGGTAACAGGTAGATTAGATTCTGACTGCAGATTTTCCTAATGTTGTTGAGACAAAAGCGGTCATTTGAGAGAAAAAAAAAATTAAGAATACGTTTGAAAGTTCATTATTTTTTAATTAAAAATAATTCTATCCAAAACCGCGAGAAAAAATGGAAACTCAAGTAATAATTTGGGTTCAGTTTTCATTCAAATAATTTAAATTTGTAATAAAAACAAAGAATTCGTTGAACTCAAAAATTTAAAACTCAGATTGGTAGATTTTGACTATAAAATGACGATCTAGGAAAATGTGGATGACAAATATTTCATAAAAATATTTAGAAGCAAAATAAAACGATTTAAACAACGGTTAAATGCAAAAAAGTAACAATAAAAGATACAAATAAGTAAAAATGTAAAACACAGTAAAAGTACAAAATACAAAAAATACAAATAAGTGATACACAGTTAATATAATTTTTTGAGATAAAAAATTAAACACATCAAAAGTGGTTACCAGATTAAAATCAGATTAGAAATATTTTCTCATGCATTTCATAAGTGTATTAATCCTACCCTATTCATTTTTACCTTCCAGTCGCGGAAAGTCAAAAAAAATTACAAAAATGTAAAATATATGTTTAAGAAATTAGGCTGCATTCGTACTTTTGTCCCGGAGAAATAAAAAAAAAAATAGTAACATTATTTTTTTCGTTCTAAAATTATAATAAAAATTATAATTATTGTGAATCGGTGCTAACAAAAAAATGGGATTTTTCAGTACCTTTAAAAGGAGCACTATTACGCAT